TTCCACAGCGGATTTCTCGTCATAACGGATTTTTTTGGTTGGAACCATGAATCCGCTGTGGCGAGGTTTGACTGTATATTTTTTTTCATTTAGATTAAGCGATTTTTACATATCTCAGATCATTATGCAGAGCATTCCAATTTTTTTATGAAATTAGAGCCACTTTCAAGTCACATTCGTGAGGTGTCAAAAAAAATATATCTTCCTTCATCCAATGTCTCAATTGATGAGATGATAGCACGATTTTCTGGAAGAAGCCCACATACATTCAGAATTAAAAATAAACCAAATCCTGAAGGATACAAAATTTTATCACTTTGCGATTCTGGATACACATACACCTTTATGTTTGTTTCACGAATTGTAAAAACAATTGTTGAAACTATTCCTAATGTCAATCAAATTGGCACAGAAGTTTATCATTTGGTAAAGCAATTACCACTAGGAAAAGCTTTCAATATTTTTATGGACAATTACTTTTCATCAATCAATTTATTTACATATTTAAGGAGTCAAGGATATGGTGCATGTGGTATCGTTAGGACTAATACTGCAAAATTTCCATCCATCTTAAAAGAAGAAAAAGAGTTAAAAAATTTAGAATGGGATCATTTGAAAGGTGTAGTAATAGATAATGTATTATCATTATTATGGATTGATAATGGACCTGTGACTATGCTTACTACAATACATAAAATAGATGGAATGGAAAATAGAATAGAAAGAAATAGAAGAAGACCAAGAGAGACAAGTACTAACGCAAACAAATTAAAAATTGTATTTGGAAATCAAACAAGAAAGGTGTTACCAATTCCTAAAGTAATTGATGACTACAACCACCACATGGGTGGAGTTGATGTGGCTGACCAGCTTTGTAGTTATTATTCCACTCAATTAATAGCATTCAGGACTTGGTATCCACTTTTTTTCTGGCTCTTAGACACAGCTGTTGTAAATTCATTTATTGTTTGTAAAAAGTTAGGAATTTCTCAAGAACATAAAAAGTTTAGAATTCAAATAGTTAAAGAATTGATTAAGGAAGCAACTCAAAACCCATTAAAAAGAAATACTCGTAATGGAGAAAATGGAGAGACATCTGAAAAGAAAAATGACAATAAAAGATTTCGTGTTTCTGACATTTTTGAATTACCAGCAACTAAATTAATTGGTAATGATCATTTTCCTAAATACCGCGAAGAAAGAAACTCCTGCTTGTGGTGCAGGTATGATTTAAAAAAAAAAAATGCACCTAGGCCACAAAACCCTCCACAAAGTCAAATTTGGTGTTCTAAATGCAATGTAGTATTATGTTGCAACAACAAACGTCCAAGTTGTTTTAAAAACTATCATTCTGTACAAGAATAATTTTTGTTTTATTTGTTTTAGTTATTTTTATATAGTTATTTTTTTGTAAATATTTTTATATAAAATAATAGTTATTTTTGTAAATATTTTTACATAAAATAATAATAGTAATTATTTTTGTAAATATTATTTTTTTTTGTTCGCAGGCAAATTTGCCTGCGAGAATATCCGTCCACATTTTCACAATTGTTTGTGTAATAGTATACAAAAAAAAAGGGTACTAAACCAGTTTTCTGACCTTAATGAAAGACGTGCTACGTATTAAAATATACATATTCTGTATTGGTTTTAATAGGGTAGAACCAATAATTAAAAATTATCACAAGGCGTGAGGTCAAAAAAATTTTTTTATTTAAAAAAAAATTTTACATTAAATTTTCAAAAAAAAACCCCCTTTTTTTTTTGTTGAAAATACCCAAAAACTTTTTTAAATCATAAATTTTGAGTTTTAACTATTTAGGATATAAAAAAAAATAATAAATTTTAGTTGAAAAAAAATATTGTTAATTAGTGGTGAAAAAGTGCATAGTTCGCAGGCAAATTTGCCTGCGATGATCTACATCGAGGGGATAGTAACGCGAATTTATTGTGGTTTGCAAAATAGTTGATTTTTGCAGATCCGTGTTACCCATAATTTTTTTTTACAAAATTCTCTTGTCGCGAAAGATAAATATTATAAAACTCTTAATTTTAATATTTTTTAATTCAGTTTTTTTATGAACTTTCCCTAATTAAACTTTATAATATAATCTATAGAAATCTCAAATGTGGTTGAATATAAAATATTTAATGAAAAAATAAGAAAAATTATATATATATTTTATTTTCAATTGAAATTTTTTGAAATTTCATTGATCCCTTCCCAAAACTACCTATTTTTTGTGAACTTTTCCTAATTAGTATATACAATAAAATATATCAAAATTTCAAGTGTGGTTAAATGTAAAATATTTAGTGAAAAGTGAGGAAAACCATGTATTTATTGTTCCTTTTCAATTGAACTTTTTTTGAAATTTCCCAAAATTAGCAACACTATTTCTAATTTTTTTTGTGAACTCTCTTTGATTAGCACCTATAACATATTATATCAAAA